CAACTGTCAAGGTCACAGGGGTCAAATGTGTTAAAATATTTACACAATGTCTCTCAATTACTAAATATTTTAACACATTTGACCCCTGCACTGGGTGGTGATATTGGGCTTGAACTCTGCTGGTATGAAGTTTGATCAAATGAATCACCTTGACCCATTTTCAAGGTCACGAGGTACAAATGTGCAAATGTCATTTAATGAATTGTCCTCAATAACCAAAAGGCCCAAAGTACTGATAACCGGCACAGAGCATGCTGAAATGAATGAAGGGTTACCAATTTTGTTAATTTGATTGACCTTTTATCTTTCTAAAGGTCACAAGGGTCAAATTTCGTTCAAATTTTCAAGTAACTTCTTCTCAATAACAAAAAGGTTCAGGCAGTTGATATTGGTTCTTAAATATAAATGGATGAAGGGCTACCAATTTATTTAACTAATTGACCTTGACCTATATTCAAGATCTCTTGGGTTAAGTGAGTTGAAATCTTAAAAATTTCTTTTGCAAAAGCAATATGTTCAATGTAATAGCATTTGTGTAGTAGCATGTATAAAGAATTTGATTTCTAGTTTGCAGAAAATGTTTTATGTACCAACAATGTCTTATTTGCAAGCTGTAGAGTAATGGCACAATTTATTTTAGACCTCTTTGACTTCTTCCATATATAGGTCTTTATAGTCAAATAATCATTAAGACCTGTGGGCCTCTTGTATATTTGTCCTGACAGGTGAGACAATTTTGTATTTCATAAAATGAGGATGTGAAAATGGTAGAAAACATATTGTTTTGTTTGAGTTATCCCTTCATTAGAGTTTCTGAATGTCCTAATTGTCTTGTGCAGCTGAAGCAGTGACTGGTAATAAGTCGTTATTTGCTTTCATACCTTAAAAAATGGTGGAAAATGGGGTACAGATGATACATTGCTGGAAGGGCTTGCATGCATATTTTTTTCTTGTGTTAATATCCAAACATTAATATCTTACTATATTAAATATTTTCATAAAACCACCATAAAGACCTATTGTTTCCTCATTAAAGGATAATAGATTGATGAAATAAGAATATCATTATCAACATACCTGTCAAGCTGTGTAATTTGTTATGTGTTTACCATCCCATGAACAGCAAGTCAGTATGAGGCAGGAACCCCTTGCAGTAGTTAACCATATAGAGGATTTGTGGTAAAGAGTCTTGCCCAAAGACACAAGCATGACAATACAGACTGCTCTGTTTCAAAGTTTGACATATAATTCTTCTTCTTCATCATCTCACATCTAATAGTGGCCATTTAAATCAAATGAATCAAGTATGATGAAATGGAAAAACTTTCACAACTTTTCACTTTTGTTTTTTTCCTTCCAAAATATGCCATTTATTTTGAAAATACTTGACTTTAATTTGTATAAAGAGTTATTCCCCTTTAAATTGTCTTTAATCAAAGGTATAAAGACAATCTTTTTAATAAAGAATCAATAAAACTATATACAGAACAGTCATATGAAGCATGCAGTCTGATAAGATGATAAAATTTCTCTTGGATTCAATATATAACATACATGCAAAGAAATGTTGTGGATCATACAAGACAGATGCAATATTCTCAAAACAGAGATTAGAAAGACATCAGTGGATGATGTGTTCTTTTCCCCACAAATTATTTATTTTATGAATTTATTCCATCATATCATGCAACTTTTGATATAGACAGCACAGTAAGTGCAATGAAGTAGACATTGCAAATGATATGTACACACGTAATGCACAGTATTCATAGACCAGAAATATATATGTATAGTGTGTGGATAATATATACATCAATTTTTGCATGAAATGTTTTTAGATTTTATAAGATTCATGAAAAAAGATATTTGTTTGTGTTTGGATTTGGCATGGCATGTTTATATATATGTTGTCTGTAGAGTGAAACTTGCATTTATCTACTTTACGTGCAGGTTTTATGTGACTTAAGTATATAAATTGCTTGTGCAGAACAGTTAAGATACATGTTTTCTTATTAAAGTTTTCTATACTCTTCTTTGTTTTTATATAATTTTTACATTCTTATTCTTGATATTTTAATGTATATTGAAATAATTCATTGCAATTTTTCTTTCTTTTTTTTTTCTCAAATAAAGAAACTACCTTTGGATTTCTTTTCATTTGATACAATAAGTCTTCAATGTTCCCTAGAGTATAAGCTTACCATGTCTTAAAAGTTAATTTGTTTCTTGTGTAGATATTAATGTGAATTGATGTGAATTATATAAAAAAAAACAACATAATAGCTCATGTACTGTATTAGGGAAACATTCACCTGAAGTTAGTTTTTCACTACAATAAAAATGACAATTTCATTTCAGTAATAATTACCATAACTTTAGTATGCAAATACAATACCTACATTCATCTTTGTATCTCAACAACAAAAGATTCAAATTCCACCCTCCCTACAATCCATGAACCATCACGGCAGGAGTATAGAGTGATCTCCCTTCCTCTTACCTTTATGGCTGCCGACAAGTGCGGAGGTGTCTGAGCTATGTGCTTTCTTTACTCCTTCTCTTCGTACTGCTATTATTGTCTGAGTATATTGCTTCTCCCTCAGTAGTTTGTAAACCCATCTCCAAACTGATTTTCCAAATTAAGTATTGGCATATGTTTATTTTGACCATTTTTCCGGCTGTGTTTTCCTCCACCTGTTTAAATGCGTGACCATGTGTCTCATTTTTCGGATTTTCGTGAAGTTGTAATTTGTTTTCATCCTGCTTCATCAGCTGTTTTGTACGACCGTTTCTTTTTGCAGTCTTGCTGCGTACGTTAAGCTTTGTACTCTTGTTCATAGTTTTTGTTGGTTAGAAAACTCGTTTCCTTGTTTTTCCATTGTTACGATTTTTTATTGATTCGACGATGAATAGTGCCGGATAACGTCGGGGTCAGAACATGGGTGTTCCCATTTCTACAGAGAGCGGGACCCCCATGATGCCTGTCCCCTTTGCAAGCCTTGCAGCCAGACTTCGCCGTGTGAACTTTGTTTGCACACAGAGTCTACTGCCAAGGCTCCAATGCCTGTCCGGCGAACTTCCTATTGGAAGAGGGATTCGTCCTCGTCTTCTGGTAGGGGAAGTAAGCATTCTAAGTCTTCCGCCTCCAGTTCTGAATCGGTGGGTGTTTTAGGCGTTCCTGCCGGGGTTGCTCTCGTCCTGTCGAGCTCCGCCCTCGAACAGGTGGTGGTCCCCCCTGTCATGGCACGCCCTGGAGTAGGGAAGGAGACAGCCTGTTCCTGACTCGGCACAAACGAGGGTCAAATTGGCCTGGAAGCTCTCGTTTGTCAGCGGTGTTACCGTCAGGTAGGGACTTCCGACCGCTGGTCACTGATTCATTCAGTGATCACGGAGCACCAGGTATTGTTGTTGGTGGTGGCTGCCTTGACTTCGAACCTGTAGTTTCAAGTACAGGTTGCGGGGCCACAGATTACTTGTAAGGTTTGTCAGTGCGGGGCCTGTCTTCCCGCCCTCACAGGTTGGGTTTACAGGTCAGGCGTCCAGTTTCCGGTCATCTTTTCCCTCAGGCTCTGGGTATATGGGTGCCTGAGGGCATACAATCCTGGGCCGCCCAGGCCAGCCTGCAGATGGTTCTGGGTACCAACAGCATACCAGCAGTTACAAGCCTAGCCTGTACATGTCTGGGTGTCCACCTGGTGGGAGTGGTGGTCCATCCGTGTCTTTTGGATAGGGTGGCCAGCTCCAGACTCAGACGGGCCATGTGGGTCAGTTCTGGGGTCACTCCCAGTCCGCAGGACCATTCTTATTCCCTCAGGGGTTTGGGATTAACACTATGGGTTTTCCCTTGTGGAATCCCTGGGAGTTAGTCTCTCCCTCTAGGAGACAGTTAAGCAGTTCTGCTATTTCGGGGGCCTTGTCGGCATGTATCAAGAAGGTTTGCCGGACCTTTAGGACTTATGCCTCCCGTGCGGACCTGATGGTCTCTAAGCCCCAATGGTCAGCTTTGGGTCTTGGACCCAAGTCTACAGCCACGCTGTACGGAATAGCCTCACCCTCTGGTGGCCCCTTTTCCTCCCACAGAGACTTCGGTCTCTATCAAGGAGGAGATGGATTTTGATGGCGCTGGCATGGCAGAGGTAGACGATGTTATTCATTTTTCTCCTTGGAGCTTGGATATTGACCCATCTGAGTCGTCCAATGACGACCCTACTGGTGAGGAGGATTCCCAGGGGGAAGATGGCCCCGAGGCTGCTGAAGCTGAGGCTCAGCATGCTCTGTCCAGATGCGGGCCCTCTGGGCTGATGTCTCCTGTATTCTTGGGGCAGAAGTTTGCCCACCACATTCGGCATCATCGATTCCCGAGTCCACCACCCTTTTAGGTTCTCTGTTGGCCCCTCGGGCATCCGGTAGGTCAGATCAGTCTTTGCTAGAAGGCACTATTGGGTCTTCAGCTCTGGCCTCTGCCTGGGCTCGGGTTATGGAGAAGAATTCTTCCTCTACCCATGGTCCTGGGTTTGCTGGACTGCAACCCAGCATTCGTGATCTGTCGAAGGCTTCTGCCAACAACTATGCCATGCATGACAGGCAACTAGCCTCTCAACCAGCTAAGCTGGAATCGAAAGAGCTAGTGGCCTGGCTCGGCAAATCGGTGGATCAGGTGATGTTCGGTGCTAAGGAACACAACAAGATGGAGAGAATTTTGTGTCTCTCCATCCAGATTCTGTCGTATATAGACTACCTGACAGTTTGTCTTTATAGGTTATCCCACTTGCCTGAGGGTCGGTTATCCGAGGCAGAACAGGCTGACATACAGGACAGGATCACCTTTGCCCTGAACATGGCTTTGAAGTCTGTTTGCTCTCCATTGTTGTGTGGGCCAGGTGGTTTTCAGTATTGAAAAACCGCCCAGTTGAGGAACCCCACCTTTCGCGGTTATTGACTGCCTCCTTCTCAGACTACTCTGTTCAGGGGATCAAGTGCTTCCTTCTGTACAGAAGGACATGAAGGAGGACTCTGTTGCCTCAGTACTTCTTGTGAAGAGGTTCCAGACTGAAGGCCAGTGCCTCACAGGGGTCAGCGCCTCCATCTCAAGCTCTTGTCCCTGTCCCACAGGATTAGGCTCTAGGTGGGCAGAAGATCCGGCGCTTCCTGTTTTGGGGGGGGGGGATGCGGAAAAGGCTCAGGCGTGCCAGGAGGAAGTAGTGACCATGCTGGCCAAGGGCACAGTAGAGGAGGTTCCTATGTCAGAATGCACTCCCGGCTTCTACTCCAGAATGTTTCTGGTTCGGCAGAAGTCCGGTGCGTGGGGTCCGATCATAGATCTCAGTGCCTTCAACAGGCACGTAGATTCTCTTCACTTCAAGATGGAAACCCCTCAGGTTATTATGGCCTTTGTGGGTGATGGAATTTGGGCAACTTCAGTAGATCTGAAGTATGCCTTCTTCCATATCCCCATCAAGAAGTCGGCACGGAAGTTCCTCCGTTTCACGTGCAATGGCTGGGTCTTCAAATTCGGGGCCATGCCCTTCGCTCCTTTGGTGTTCACCAAGTTGCTGCATGTGGTTGTGGGATTCCTTCACTCACACGGAATAGACGCCCACATCTATTTCAATGACTCCCTCATGCTTCATTTGGTGAGGGAATCGCTAGTGAAGGACACCTGTCTGGTCCTGAAAGTCTTGCTCAGAGTCGGCTTCATTCCTTCCAGAGATTCTTCAGTTTTCTGGGGTATCTCAACTCCCTGACAGATGTGGTCCCCCTAGGGAAGCTTCACATCAGACCACTGCAGATGTTCCTCCTGTCCAACTGGGTTCCGTCATCCAGGAAGTGGGAGGCCTGGATTCCTCTTACCCAGTTTGTCAGGGAGTTCGCTTGCTAATGGACCATTCAGGAGAACGTTCTCTGCGGAGTGCCTCTGACCAAGTCTGTCCCCTCTATGAACATGGTCACGGATGCGTCCATGACAGGATGGGGGAGCTTACCTCAACGACCAATGACGCATGGGGGAGTGGTCTGGCGAACAGCTCTCGGAGCACATCAATGTGTTTGAGATGAGGGCTGTTCTTGTGTCTCTGCAGTTCTTTTGGGGTATCTGGAGAGACGGGGGCATCCGCATCCTTCTTCTCTGCCAGGAGATGCAGTTGACCATCGCAGTCAAGCATCATCCTGGAAGGCAGAATGGCAGCTGCGTCCCTTGATTTTCAAGGGGATTTGTCAGGTGTCAGTATAGACTTGTTTGCCACTTCCCTGAACAACCAGCTGCCAACCTTCATCTCTCCGGTCCTAGATCCGAAGGCTTGAGCTGTGGATGCCCTTTCTCTGGACTAGGATGGGATGTATGCATATACATTCCCTCCCTTCAATCAGGTGGCCAGGGTGCTACAGAAGTTGCAGGAGCATCACAGCTCCTTACTTTTGATAACCCCTCTGTGACCGAGGCAAACTTGGTTTCCGGAGCTCTTGTCGTATCTGGCGGAGCCCCTGGCTATCCCCACAAGACTGAATCTCCTTCCCCAGCCGCAGGCAAGAACTACACACTCTTGACCAGAGATCCTCCACCTTCACCCGTGGAGGCTATCTCTGGAAGCCTTGCCAAGGCAGGCTTTTCTTGAGAGGTGTCGGGTCGCATCGCACGATCAATCAAGGCTTCCTGTTCTGCCGTCTACCAGTCACATTGGAAGATCTTCTGTGATTGGTGTGTCGGCAGGGAGGTTTATCCGTTCAAAGACTCTGTGCAGTTGATTGTGGATTTCCTACTCTCCCTGTTTAGGGACTGCAATCTGGCACCTGGCACTATTGCTGGCTATTGTACAGCTATTGCCAGTGTCTTTGCGTTTTATGGAAGGAAAGAGATAGGTTCGTCCTCGCTTGCTGCCCTAATCAGAAGCTTCGCTCTAGATAGACCCAGAGTGTAGCAGCTGGCACCACAGTGGAATCTGGCCCTGTTGCTAGATTCCCTGACTAGGGCTCCTCATGAGCCTCTGAAGTCTGCCTCGTTAAAGTTTGTAACTTTCAAGGCAGTCTTCCTTTGGCTTTGGCCTCTGGAGGTAGGATCCCATCTGTTTCTTCCCATCAAACAGGGGACATCAAGATATCTCCTCCCACTCGGTTTCCAGGTGGGTTTGCCAGGTGATTAAGTATGCTTATGAGCATTCTGATGATAAGACTCTGGCAGGTGTGAAAGTGCGGGTTCATGAGGTTAGGGCCCTTGCTGCATCTTGGGCCCTTCTCAATGGGTCCTCCTTTCAGGAGGCCATGTCGGCAGCATTCTGGCGGGGCAGGGATACCTTCACAGATTTTTATCTATGATCCCCAGCTTCCCACTCAGAAGGCCTGTATTCATTGGGACCTCTGTTTGTGGCACACTCCTCGTTTGCCCGGGGCATGTCTTTCAGTACGGCGACATGTGTGTACACCTGCTCTTACACGAGAAGGTCCCTTCCTTCTCTTTGGCACTCTGTTCTCCCTCCCTACTACTTTGGCTGTGCTGAAGGGGCTGCCTGGCTTCTAGTCACCACTACGGTAAGACGAATTTGCATACTAAAATTATGGGAATTGTTACTGAAATGAAATTGAGGTTTTTTCATGTAAAACCAATTTTCATGATGTAATACTTACCATAACTTTATGGAGTCCCACCCTATCCTCCCCTCTTCCTTATCTGCCTGGCTGCCCCTCTGTGGGGTGCTCATGGATTGTAGGGAGGATGGGATTATTTGAATCTTTTGTTGTTAGGATACAAAGATGGGTGTAGGTACTTGCATAAAGTCTGTTCTATCACCATTTGATTAAAAACAAAATGGACAAAGTTAATGATGACATACTCCTATGTTTTCATTATGTTTTATGTTACATAAAGAACTATTCCAGATTATGACTCTATATATATTGCATGATTTGTTTGTATGCACATTTACATATAGTGATGAATGAATTGCTTATCAAATACAGGTTATGGGCAAGGTAAGCAGTGCGATTCCCTAGCAACCTTTAGTGACCATTAGTCTATAGAAACACCAGCCACCAAGTTCTCTTACAGCAGAATTTGTTTAAGCTTTTACAGTAGAAATATCAGGTTTGTCCTTCTGACAAACATGGTGTACCTGATATTTGTATAGTAGGACACAAAGAATATAAGGGTTATGTCAGACTGAATCAAAAGTTTTGTTTTTTTTTCAAAAGGAAATTTTGTTTTCTAATTATTTTTGCCTAAATAATTTCTCGTTTTTAGGTTACCTGAGACAAAGTCTTGGGGTGTCCAATTCCAATCCTATTTTGTCCGGTGTCATGCATCGTAAACTTTTAAAATAACTGATTTCAGTGAAATTTTACAAAAACTTTTCTTGGCTTAAGGTGCTTCAAATTTGTAAATTATGTATTCCTTGACCCCCAGGGGCTTGAGGGATGGGACCAAAAAGGATAAAATTTATTGAAACTTTGAAAATTTTCCAATCCCAGGTAGGGTGGAATCAAATATTCTTCATGAATGGAAAGGCCTTTAGATGCTTAACCAAAATTGTAAATTTTATGACCCCAGGGTCTCACATTTTCACCCTGGGGAAGGGGTAAAGTTTACTACAATTTATAAAGAAAAATAACATTTTTAAAAATAGTTTACTTTCTCTTGGAAATAGCTCAGACATGGTTAGAATTATAAGTTTCAGATGGCAGTTTGATGAAATACTTATATTTACCTTTTCTGACCCACCTTGGGCTGTTGGGCGGGGTCAAAAATGGGTCAAATTGATTGAAATTTCAAAAATCTTCTCAATACCCAGATAATGGAAAACCAAATATTATTCCTGGATGGAAGTTGCCTTTTGGTGCTTTACTAAAATTGTAAGTTTCATGATCCTAGTGTCTATTATTTCCCCTTTGGAAGGGGGTAAAATTTACTATAGTTTATATTGGAAAATTACATTTTTGAGCATAATTTGTTTATTTTCTTTTAGAAATAGTTCAAACTGGGTTAGAATTATTAGTATAAGCTGACAGATTGATAAGATGCACATACTGACCATGGCTGACCCCCAGGGACCGATAGGCAGGACCAAAAATCGGTTGAATTGACTGAAACTTCAAAGATGTTCTACTGTTCCTCGATGGAAGATTTTATATAGGAAAATTCAATTTTTGAGAGTAATTTCTTTTAATTCAAACTTAGTAAGAAGCCGTTGCATCGAACAGCAGTTATTGTTAGGTGCAATTTACATTTTCATTATATGTACAACATAGTTAAAGTTATCTTACTTTTTTGATAAAATCATTTCAATGACATGTTACAAGAAGCATTGTGACTCAGGTGACTGATAATGTCCCAGTGCCTCTTGTTCTTAAAAACACTTGTTCTCTGCCTAATATTCAGCCGATTCTTCAGTTTTATGTAGGTTGGAAATCGTTGTTTAATTGGATAAAAACATTCCCTATCGTCAATATTTTTTCAGAGCAAAATATGAAACATTTCGAAGAATAAAAGAATGGAGAAGGGAAGGGGAAATTACAAATTGGATTAGTGCAAAGTCAGTTTAAGGCCCATTTGGGCTTCCAGCTGGTTTACATTGTTTTTAATTTAATTTACATATTTGATGTTCGAAATCTCAATTTTTTGCACCAACAGCTAATCCTGTTGTAATCTCGTATAAAAGATGTTATGCTACCGACACATTGAAGATGTGGCCAGATTATATGCTCATATTAGGCTTTTAAAGTACAAACTATAGTGGTGCTGAAATTCACCAATCACAAGAGATGCAGGCTTTCTAAAGAAGCCACGAAAAAATATCTAAGGCATTTTGTTGGTTGTAATGAGTTTTTGCTAGATTTTTACTTTAGATTAAAAGATGATGGCGAGTTACCCGATTTGACTTTTGCATAGAAATTGTTAAGCTAGTTTTCATTGAATTTTGTGTCATAAATATTTTTTAACATAAAAATTGCAGTCAAACTCATTGATACAGTGATTCAGAGAAATGAAACAAAATGAGATTCTCTATAGTCCTGATTCTAATATTCCTGAGGTGTTTCCTAATCAGAGGGTTTCTACGTGGAAAGAAAAATAGTAATTCAAAACAATTCACATTGTTACTTTTTCTGTCATTTTGATTAAGCATACCATGGGGACATTTGAAATGGTTAAAAAATATTCATGCTGAGTTATATAGAATTCTGCTTGAGGGAGAATAAGGATGCCTTGAATCTTAAACTTAAGAATGCTTGTAGTTTTAGAAATTGAACAGAGTTTCTAATCATTCAATCATCAGGAAGGATCACTTAATAATATAAAGGGAGATAACTTTAGGAAAGTGTCAACATAATTTACAATAATAGTGTTGTTTGTCAGAAAAACAGAGTATAGATTGAGAAAAGCTCTAGTTTTGTTGCCGAAGTATTTGTGAAGCTAGCATTTTGCAGTCTTAGGTATAGCTATATTTGACAGATGCTGTGGTTGTAGGGAGATGACTTAATCAATTCATTGAAAGATTTATGTAAAAAGGTAATTATGTCGGTATTAGTATATATATAAAGAACTTGATCAAAAATAAAAGTAAAAGAATGATTTTTCAGGGGTCTTTATTTGCTGCTAGCAAACTTTTCATCGACACTAAGCTCCCTCTTGTTTCTTGTTCCTGAGTGAATGTTCACTTGGAGTAATTCTGTTTCCTGTATGATGGCTATGTGACATAAAAAAGGAAAGGAAAAAAAAACAAGATTCTGCTCTTAAAAGACAGTGATTTTATTACCAAGGTGACTGGTTGTTTTATCTAAGACAAGCTTTGAAAGTTCCCACATGTTAATTTGAATGATGGCTTATAATTGGGCAAATGGTTTCTACCAATCAAGCTGGTCTCTATTTTTGAAATTAATGGGTATTTGTATCAAATTTTCAATTTCTAGCATGCCAATAAAATGAAATTCCTCTATGCACCAATGGCATATCAACATTTATTTCTAGTTAAGTGACATAGTGACAATATTTTTGAAAGTGTTGCATGAAATGCAGATCCATTTGGAAGGAAGAAATTGCCCAATTTTGAAATGAAACCATCCAACTTTGAAAGAAATTGCTGGTTTAATTAAAAATTGTAGTGATGAATTGTCTTTCAATTACCTTAATGCATCTTGTACTCTACTTTCCTTTCCAGATTGAAAATATGAAGATTTAAAAATTTTCAAGGATTCTGAATCATTGATTTTCTGAGTTTCAAATTTTTTATGTTTAACAAAGAACTGATATCAGTTTCAGTCTCTAGTTGTGTATGAGTATCTTCTTACCTGACCAAAGCCATTGGATTTGTTAATCTTTACACAGAGTATTTTAAAGATAGGGTACGGTACTTGTCATCAGTTTAGCATGGGGAGAATATTAAGTGGACCAAACAAGAATGGAAACAGGTCATATTTATAAATATATCTCAACTCATCTCCTTTAAACCACCTAAAACAGCATTTAAAATGATGTGTTTTAAATCACTTAAATAGACTTCACAACAAAAGACATCAACAACAGATGTTCTTCAGCTCCATATAAGAAATATGTTTCATTTAATCGGAAAATGTGTCACTCCCTTTCATAATGATATTTTTTATGTAACTTTACTGAATGTTAGCAGCTTAATATTTACAGTTTGAAAACAACATGAGAATACTGATATGTTTACAAAAACATGAGCAAAAAAACATTACAATGTGACAATTAAAAAATGTATAACAAGCATAAGACCAGATGTTCCACAAGGGCACGCAGGTTTAGGTGATGTAAATCTTGTCTGTTAAAGTAAATGATCCTATGAGCATCCATCATCTTTGATTGCATAACACAACAGGAAATGAATACTGAAATGTAAACAAAAGTAGTGTTTACCTACATCATAAAGAAAAGTTGGGTTGTGTGTATACCATTCCCTGTATCGAATATGTAAGACACATGCTGTGATAGATATACAAAACATTGATTCGGTCTTCCCTTCTTGTAAAAATTCATCCTGGATGATTGATTTCCACTCGCATGAACCTTCAGCAATGCCAGACTGCATCTCTAAAAGAAATTTTTCTTTGTAAATAGCCTTTGTCCTAAAAATACAAGCTCATTTGGGACTTGAACAATGCATCAAGTCACAGACTTCTCTCCAGGAGTGTCGCATGAACAAATCCTGGATGTAGTTACATAGGAACATTGCCTTGTACCTTAGATAGGGAGAGATTACTGTAGGCTAAACAATGGCTTCTCTCCCCTGGCAAACAGGCATTTCAAATGATCATTGTACAGTTGGAGGTAAAAAGAGACTTGTGGTGATGTTTGCGAGACATTTATTCCACTGGATGCTGTGTGTAAGTAAATTATGTGCAAAGAAGTAGAAAAAGTTTCTTCTTGTAAAGAAAAATGATAGCATCTATTTATTTAATGATATATTTTAATGTAGAGAAGATCATGACTTTGTCCTGTGTTAATATGAGCGATAAGTATGGTAAGGAAATGTTCAGTAAAAGAGGTAAAACATTTTGATACAAATCCAATGGGACATAACTCTAAGGGGCATAACTCTGCAGTAAATCAAAGGTATTAAAATTTGTAGGAGACATAACTCTACAAATAAAGGAATAAATCAGTCACTATATTTTTTATTATGATTTAGCATTTTAGCTGATAGTGTTCATATTCAAAGTTTAACAAAAGTGACAACAGTCTAGATTCATTGTAACCTTTTGAAAACTGCTAAAAATAAGATAACTTCTACAAAATGATATTGTGAACCCCAGGGGACATAAGTCCACAGTTACCCAGCATAAATTGTTTGTATGAAAGATATTTTGATACAACAAAGTTAAAAGTGAAATGATTTATGAGTCTTAATAATGTTAATAATTAAATCAACATGTCATTTAAGTATTACATAAATACTAACATATCCTCATAAAATGATGTGAAAAGATGCACAGAAATAGGGAAAGAATGTGTCCAGTGACATAGATGTTGTAACAAACTACAAACACTTACATCATTAGTAAGTATGTGTTTCTTTCATCAGATTAATGTTGGCTGGCTATTGACTTCTGTTGTATAGTGTATAGTAAATCAGGGACCCCTGCTTCAGTGTCAGTATTTGTTAGAGGAAGTAGAGTAGGAAATAACAGCCGGATCAATACAAAATGAATCTTAAAGATATAGAGTGGATTAGGGAAGAACTATAAACATGAATCAAAGTGACAGATAAAGGCCAGCAGTTAGCCACACCCGCCAAATTACTCATGTAACAGGTAAAGCTTTTTGTGAACTTGACTCTCTTTACCTAAGTCCATCACATAAATGTGTTTGTAAATGGAAAACTCATTGAGCTTCATTTCTTAATTTGAATATTTTTGTATATTTATGATTGTTTTTGCTTAAGATGGATAATGCTAATCACAAGGTCTAGAAACTGACTAAGTTTTAGATTAAGGAAAGCTGATCTCCAAGACCCAACATATAGTGTTACCATAGCAACCCTACAAAAAAAAACCAAACACTTAATCTCTGATTCCTCATCAAAATCACGGGGCACAGGCTTCCTGTAAAATAATCAGTAGATGTGGGAGACTTTTTTGGCTTAAATTTGTAATTAAGTTTATACCTAACATTCATGTGTCCACGAGTTTACATGTCCACAAATTTGTAAGTCCATGAAATGGAAAACATGGAAATTGACCTTCTAGATTTCATGATAAAGATTTATCCATGACCTCAAATGGCAATGGAAATACATTTTTTTTAAAATAAAATTTGAAACCCTCGAAAATATATGATTGTATATAGTATTTGTTACAAGATGATGATGAATAGGATTTGTTTGTAATTTGGTACTGAACTGCAGTTGAATGTAAATACCAATACTTTTTTGGATATCAACATGTTTCATACTGAAATCAATTTTCTTCAACTGAGTTGTATGTAGAGTTGTGAGCCCTTTTATTCCTTTTTTAGAACTAATCATAGGGGACTATGATTGATTACTCACAACACTTTGTCTTCTAGGACTACAGTTTTAAAAATTATCTACAAAAAATATTGTGTAAATTTAACCTTAAAAATATTGCAGATGTGATTACAACCACAATGCAATTTCAACAAACCAGCAATTTCTGTAAATTTAAGAAAAACATGTAGAGTAAATCTCATTATGTTGCCATCAGTTAGATGAATTGACATTGCAAAGGTGTGTACTGAAATATGGTGGGTGGCTATAAAGAAATTCATAATAGAGAGGAAAACAAAAAGATTAAAAACTGATTGGCATATATAGAGGTTTCACTGTGTATTCTAAAAAGAAGTATCTTTGTCTGCTTCTGTGGATGACAAAATGCCTCGTTCTGTTGACAACAGAAATTATGAAACCATCATCTTCTTTTTCTTTCTTGACAAACATTGAATTTCAAGTGAATAAAATAAATGAGAGATTTGTATATCATACCTTGAATTCAGGCTGTCAACTGTGACTGGAACAGTCCCTTGAGACTGGACACTGTTGAAATTGATCACCCACATCCTGTATCCAATTTAAAACAAAGCACCAGTAGACTTAAAGCATGAAGAGTAATACAATGCAATGTTACCACCATAGGATTCGTAATTGCTGAAAAATTTCTGTTCTGCTTTTTCCCTTTTTTCCCTTGAGTTGTGTTAATTTTTTTCTTATTTCAGCTGTAAACTTACTGCTCAGTCTCCACAAAGCTAAATTGACTATCATAGACTCCTAAAGCCTGCTGTTTTCTCTAACAAACCTTTTATGTGTCTACAGTTTTATATACACTGAGAATATGGTTTCAAATTCAAAATAATGATTGAGCTCTTTGCATGTTGAAAAACACCATTCTATTGTCTTTTCAAGTCTTATTTCTCCCCAGAGATTTATTTCAATACCACCTCTGTATAAATTTCTGCTTTTCATCAGGTTATATAACTTAATTCTTTGTTTTTAAGTTTTCATATTCACATCATCCAAAAGCAACAGATGTAATGGCCATGCCATAAGTGAAATTGACATAAAACTTCATGTTAGAGAAATTTTAAGTTTGAATATTGAAGTATGTTTTCAATACTATTTTCACATCTATAGATGAATCTGTAATTATTTTGATGAGATCATATAAGGGTTGATGAGAAGAACATAACTATCTTTTATCAACATGGCCATTCTTCCTTCACTTGTTTCAAATCACAAATTCGATGATGTGTATGTTTTTTACCAAATCCCATTGAATTTTGATGTTGCATATATGTTTGTCTGTTTTTGTATTTTTTGTTTTTTTTGTTTTTTTCTTTTTTAATTTCTAATGCTTTTTTGTGTTTCTTTCTTCAGGAAATGCCAATAATCCTCCAAGGTTGTTAAATTTTTCACAGTCTCGAGTGATCGTTCGTGGGGAAGACACAGCTTTAAGTGAGTATATCTACATCAGATGTAATTTCACTTTTGCAAATTTTATTTTAAGAAAAGCTAGGATATTAAAAAGCAATTTCTTTTGACATCAGATTGACTAATTTGGTCTTACTTTTAGCTCCTGTACCTGGTCTGAAGGAATGATGAGCTTATTCCATAGTTTGGTGTTCAAACAATGGGATTGGGCATTCATCAACCTTTCGAAAAAAAATGCTACTTGTCATGATTAGGTTTTGATGGAATTTGGTCAGAAGCATCCTTGGGGTAACAGGAACAAAGATTGCGTAAATATTGGTTCTTGGCCCCAGGAGCCTTAAAAGTAGAGCCCAAGATGGGGGAATTTTTCAGTTTCTTAAAAATCCTACTCTTCCTGCAGGATTGGATTGCCAAAATTTGGTCTCAAGTATTCTTGGATGAAGGGAAATCAATCTTGTATAAATGATAGGCCTTGGGGCCCTGGGGTGAGTGGCTCTGGGCCCAGTAGGGGAAGTAAATTATTTCAAATCCTTACAATCTATTACAAGATACCTTTGAAACCTAAAAGAACATGTCCAATAAAATCTTATTTTGATTAATTGTTTGGCTCTACTGTATCCGTATCAAAGGGTGTTTTATAATTCACTTGCCTTTTGTACAATTTTTGGCAAGTGAAAATAATCTCAAGTAATTTAGATACAACAGTGATAAAACATCCTAATTGTTGTAGTTCTGTACTGTTAACATATCTCGCACAACATATGTTCAATTGGAGCTGTAAGCATCACTTGCTGCAAGTTTCCCATGGTATCTTGAAAACTGGTCATTTATATAGAAACTTATGATAAGTGTTTTGGCCAGGTTGCAATTATACCAAAAATAACTTTCAGGGAAATAAATGATAGTTAAACAGTAATCTAAATGTGGTGTGCAGAAGCCATGTCACTGCACACAATCCATTCTTTGTTGGCATGGCTGTAGCCCACCAGTTTAACAGAGATTGTTGAGAGGTTGGAAGGTGCTTCAGCCACAGACTGTTTCTTTCCTGAAAATACTTTGACTATAATTTGTCCTCGTTGTATGGTACCTGCTATAAACAGAATTTAATTGTGGAGTTGTTTTGTCTTTTCAGTCGATTGTTCATGCAGACATTTACAGTGCTGATCTTTGACCTTTCCTTTTCGCCAATAAAGTTAATTTAAAGACCATAACACTTTGTCCAAGACAATAGAAAAAAAGGAATAAAAAATCTTATATAGAAAAGTTGTAAAATTTTCCTCCTCATTGTGCATTTTTAACTGTTTGGTTTTGCTTCTGTGGAAATTGGTTTTAAAACCAGACATCATATACATGTCAGGTTGTTATTTATAGTGTGTTGTTTCTATAGTCCAGTAAGCCTTTATATCAGAAACAAACGGGTTTTCATCCACTACCTATTAGAGGCCTTTTCACCTACTGCAAAATCAGTTTTAAAAACTAGCATTGTTCTTCTATAGTCATGTTGGTTTAGCTCAGTAAAAGCTCTGAAGCTTACTTACACTGCAAAAGGGGTTAAATCCATACAAATGTGAGATGTCCAGTGTTGGTATTGATCATCTTGGCTGCCTCGAACAGATAGAATAACCTGGTTAATTTGGTCGAAACCAGAAATCATTTCTGCTATTCTTGCCGTTGACAAAAGGGTTATTTTCACTTGGAATATGTCTGACTGCATGCCCTTACCATAACAAGGTGATAGTAAATCACATAGTTTTAGAAGGGTGGGAGTAGGGGTGGAGTAGAGGATTGGGGAGCTACAGTCTTTATAAATTCTGTTCAGTATCAATGGGCTTTACACATTCTCATTCTCCAAAATTCACCCTATGTATGTGTCTGACTGCTGACCATTACTATAACATTCGGAAACCCATAACTTCAATTTTATGGTTGATAAAACCTGGAGACTGACGCCAGCCAGAAATGACCCATCCAGTATCAGCAACAACCAACATAGGAATTAACATTGCTAGAACTGCTGTGTGATTTTCATGAATGGTAACAGCTTTTTTTTGCTTTATTTTCCTCATAGTCTGCTGGAATCACTATGGCTGTGTTTGATCATTGACAGTTAATGCTGTCAGATTACAGACTTCAATTTTCCTCTTTTTTCTTTTTGTTTTTTTTTGGTTTTTTTTCTACATAGTATCCAATTAGTGATTGGTTATAATAGTTGAAATCTCAGGTCAAAGTCATAATTGTCATTGACCTGTTGGGTCAAGGTCATAGTTTGTTCAAGATCCCATATAATTTGTACTGTTGTATACAGCACTCAGTTACAATATGATAAGTCAGAATGTAAGACCATACGGTTTTTGCCATATTGAAAATATATCAAGATTATGTATCCATGCAGGAACTCGTACATATGCCAGGCTGCATGTTGTATCTTTCAGTCAAGCTCTTGAGAAAAGTCAACTGACTGATTCCTGTTGATGGGTAAAGTTTTATTAATCAAATTCACATCCAAGGACACAAGGTCAAGGACAAATTTAATGGATGTCACTAAATATAGCAATGGATGAATGTTGTATGAATGAAGTATGATGCTGTATGTATATATGTGATTGCTGATAGACAGCATGTTACAGTTTATCACGGAACTTTGTTGCAATTCATTTTGTATTGGTTGCCTCCTAGCAGTGTTCAATATGTGTGTATAAGGATGGATATGTCTCATATTGCATTTGTGGTGATATGAATGTCACAGGATGTTTTTTTTCTGAGGTCGGGCATGTGGCTAATATACCGATATGGCTTACGTGTGGATGAAAAAAAAATTGGCAGAATTGGGGGTGGGGTGGGGGAAGAGTATTGTCTGGATATTGATTCGGGATCGTTATGTTTCTTGGACCAGCCATTTTGTCGAGGCGTATCAGATGCACTATTGACCTGTGCGACTTCAAACCCTGATAATTTTGGTTGCTGTAACATGTCACATTTCCAGAAAGAATAAAAAAATAGTGATTTAAACAAAGGATACCAGTATGAGATGTCAGTACCATGTCCATCATGTTTTTGGAACTGAAAAGGATTGTCTGGAATTGTCATTTGCAACTGTATGTAACCATGAAGATTGTTTCAATCCACATCATTTTGCTTCCACTGATCATTGTTATTGTATAGCAGACAAACCAAACAACACAAGTTCTGTGAGAAAGTTAATATATGCTTAGTGCCTTCTGTCTTTCTGTGTCATGTGGAATTATTTTCTCCTTTTTTAGAGACTATTTCCAGACTATGGTACTTGCTGTGGCTTTTTCTATACAGTTCTCAATAATGCAGAAATACAAAATTTGTTTGACTACCCAAAAATGATTGTTTTCTTCATGAAATGAAGTTTTTTGTTATGGCTTGTAAATTAACATTTATTGGAACTAAATTGTTTCTCTGTTCAATTTAGTCTCTTGAAATGATCCAGTTATATGTGAAACTTGACAAATTGTTTCAAGGAAATGTAGATTAACAATCATTAATTATTAAAATGTTATTTAAAGATGGTTTTTATTTCAGTAATAATTACCATAACTTTAGTATGCAAATACAGTACCTGCACCGATCATTTAGCCCAAAAAACAAAAAATTCAAAATCCCACCCTCCCTACATTCCTGTGAGCCATTACGACATAGAGTGATCTGCCTTCCTCTTTTCTTTATTGCGCTCACTGGTGGCTGATGTTCTTTCAGTCATTCAGATTGTTTAGTAATCATTCAATAATTCCACAATTATCTCCACTCCTTTAAATGGCATTTGAGAAACTTTCAAGATTTCATAATGGATAAGGGGCTGATTAGATAGGAAATGGGTTCCCTGTTCATGGGGAGGGAAGGGTATAAAACTTCTGTGTAACTTTGATTTGAGTTGTTACCAAATGGCTGCAATTCAAGGTGTCAGTGCAGAAAATAGGAACAGTTGCTATTAACAGGTGAAGTAAAAAGGAAGTCTTTCTTGTTATATGTGAAAAAATTAAAGTAAAAAGAACAGAAATTAAGAGAGAAAAAAATTGCCATTATTAAAACATCATTTCCACTTAGTTGTCTCCCTTTATTAATAAAGACACTAGTAGTGGATGATGAAAATTCTGTTGACATGTCATGATGCAGATAGGAAGCAAACAAACACATATCTCCATTTGACCAAATAAGCTCTAGCTACGTGTTCAGAATAAAAAATGTTATATGTGTTTTCTTTATGCATGGGTTTCAATCATCGTCGGAAACCAACAAGACTCAAAAAATAGAGAAGAGTCTTGTGGGTTTTAGACGATCAATTTTAATGTGTTTTGTCTTTTCCAGAATTATTCTTTTCAATCTTTCTTGAGGAATTGTCTCCTGTTGTTTGTTGATGGACCTAACTGTACCCAGATTTGACTAATAAAGAATGTTAGATGATACACTTGTTGACGATAGGTTGATGAAATAAATGAAAGTCTGTCTAAGCTTTATAACCAGGTTCAGTAAACATTGTATGGCATTTTGAATGGATTATCATCAAATTTGATGACATTTATCTCCCACAGGAGATGTGGCTTTCGAGAATCTGTTTTTACTGCTCAGTGGACCAACACTGTCAACTTTTATCAATAACTCATTTACTGAACAACTTAATCCATCACCAATACATTCTTGACTTCTGTCTGTTGTTTAGCTCAGCACCTACACATTCTGATTTCAAAACATCTTACTGTGATTTGATATAAATCTTCCAACCGCATTGTCACTGCTAAATGCAGTTTAAGTAGATTTGAAATATTTTGTTTTTATTTTCACATTAATCTTATATAGTGGAAACACATTTATCTTTATCTGAAGCTTGACTTGAGAGAAATGCTTTGGCTACAATATGAAGTGATAAATTGATGTGGTGTCCAGACTGATTGACAAGACTAACATCTGTTACTTCATAAGGTGAAGGTCATACACAAATAGTAACTAGATCATGTAATGACCTAATTTTCTCTCCACTTCACGATGAAAAAAATTTAATA